ACTTAGAACTTGTTATTGCAGAGGCCTTGTACCCAAGTCTGCTGTTGATCCTCTTTTGGGATTTACTCCAGTTGATTGAACATCAGAAAGGGAATACTTATGAATAGCAGGCTCAGGAAGCATTCTTGGAAGAATCATTTGGCACATAATTCTTAAGACCTACCTTACTATCATTTCTTAATTATGTTCCTTGGAAAGCGGCACTTTTAGTGCCTAATTTGGCACAGGCGAGAAGAGCCTTTTGGCTTATTCTCTATGGCTGAGTGGCCTGAGGAGCTTCTGTGACTTGTAACTTCCAGCTTAAATGTTGACTGCTTAGTATTTCCGCTCCCATTAACCAAACTCTGTGTTTTAACATCAGCTGCTCACTGAGTATTCAACAACTTGGGGACACTGGTAATTCTATGCAGATGGTGTGAAAGGTTTTTCCAGGTTTTAAATATATAAAGAAAACTAAAGTATTAATGAAATATTTTAGGAAGATGTGGCATTTAAAAAAATACATCATCTTGTTCTTTGTTGGCTTTTTATTCTCTGTTAAATTCTGTTAAATCTGCAGGGATTTAAAACGAAATATCATATTAACTATTTTTCTTGCTGCTTAACAAGCACAATAAAAAGGCGCCATGATTTGAACTATGTGCTAATGAAGTTCATACAGGTTATTTCATTGATTATAGTACCACCTGATCTTTGTACTCTCTCCGTAGGTGAAACGATGTGGAAACAAAAGATAAGATACAGCAAAGAATCATGATTTCAGTCTGCAGTGGTGTATTCTAAGAGGTGTTTGCTTTCTGTTGTGCTGCTTGAGACAGCCGAAATCAAATGGTGTATGCAGACTAATAATATTTTAGGGGTGTGAGGCTTGTACTGTGCATATCCCACTTCTAGAACTAATTTTTGTCTCACTGCTTCCCCAGAGCTTGTTTGTCTTGAACATAGCGTTTTCGTTGTAACCCCGATGGTAATTTTATTGTTAAACGTAGCTTATCTTTAAATATAGCTTATATCTCAAACTTGAAATGCTAGAATGGGAATGAGCTGGGAACCACAACTGTGTAAGAGTTAAAATCTGCTGGAAAAGATCAGTTGAAAGACTGTATGTCACTTTATTTAAACTGTGAGTCATGTTGAGCCACCTTTGACCTTCAGATTTCCTTTCAGGTTCTCTGCAGAAAGAAGTGTTTCTGGAGTTGTTTCATTGTCTGGAAAATAAGTGACAGTTATGTCTCTCTTTAAGATATAATTTACAATAATTTGGTTATTATCAATGCTTTGTATAATTTTTAAGACTTTGCTTCTAACTGTTCATTAGGCTAGGGAGTGCTCTTTAGGTTAAGAGACTGATCAAGCTTGATTAGAGAGTGGTAGTTCATTTGTACTTTGATAACTACCTTTTAGCAGTAGAGCTTTTCTGAACAGGTAGAACATCAGGATCTTCCTGTTGTTGTCTTGGGTTTTCCACCAACCAAATAAATAGGATGAACAGTGCCCAGGGAGGAAGGTCGCTGTACTGCAAACAGAATTATTTTAAAAGTATGCAACGTGGCCACCTGCCTCTTTTCATTTTTCTGCATGTTTGTTCTCTCTCCTCTAATCCCCTATTTTACAAGGATTCTGTGGTGAACCAGAAACTTATAAACATGTATCTTTAACATAAGAACCAACCCAAAGATCAGGAAGAGTAAATAAAGTTCAGACGATCATGATTCTTTCTGACTGTGAGTCCTCAAGTGCTCCATGAATTTTGATTCCGTTACAGAGGAAGACCAACAATCACAGAAATTTTCCAAAAGCTCTACTTCGATCTCCTAGAAAAGGTCTATTCAAAACCTTCTGTTAATATATGGTCTTAACTAGATGCTTTTTTAACCCTGAGGACAGTATTTGTGATTTGTTTTTTTTAATGGCCTTGGATAGAGTATTTTCTTGTTGATCCCCCCCCCCCCCCCAGTTTGGAATTGTTTCAGTTTCCCATTGCTGGGTAATGCCCCTCAAATAGCAGCTACTGGAGCACTTAAACGGCACAAGGCTTTTGATGGTCTTGTTCTCAGCACAGAGTGAAGGCCCCTAAGCAGCAGTTTGGCTTCAGCTTCCTTTGACCTTTCTCACCTTGCAAAACTATGTGCTGAACTAGAAAGACAAATGGCTTTCACCATTAAAGATAAACTATTGAATAGCAAAGGCTTCTTCCTGATCTTTTAAGGGACAACAGCACAGAAAAAAATGTGCTTTAAGTTTATGAAGTAGAATACCAGTGATGACTAATGATACATCTCCCTGAAAGGTGTTTTGTTTGGGGTTGTTTTGTTTCACAACATTTTGAACAGTACACTTAAATTTGGATTCTGGACTGAAAGATGAATAAGCTAGCACAAACTGAGCGAGAATGTGAACCTTCTGTAGCTAAGCTACTCTGAAATGTGTTTTTGAGACTCATGGTAGCTCTTTTGTGTAGCAATCCAGAGAAACTTAGTATCCAGCAAGTAGAATTTGGTGTTGGATTTTTATCATTTGACTGATACAGGAAAATGCGTGAGGTGAATTCTGATAAAAGGAGAATTCTGATAAAGATGATCTATATGGATGAAATAACTGTACTCGAGATCAGACTCTGACTAGTCTCTCTGAGATTCCAGTTGCCAAATAAAGGCTTTTTCCATTTAGTTGTCTTAGGTCAGTGTCTTCTCTGTTTTGAGTAGTACTTCTATATAAAAAATGAAACGTGCTTTTGGGAAAAACTGTGTGATGAAAGCTTGGCACTGTAGAGTAAGCAGGTGACTTGTCAACTGTCCTTATGTCTTGTACCTTCTTTTACACAGGCATGTGTTTTTTTTAAGGTAGACTGGAGAAAAGCAGATCTATTGTCTTAATTAAAGAGCTTACCTTAATCTAACTAAATCATTATTTCTAGCATGGCTGGTTTTATAAAATGTCTAGACTTAGCAGATAAGCATGACATTTTAAAATAATTTTTGCAGAACTAATTTATTTCCCACAGTTGTTCACCTGAACAATGACTTAATCCTTGCTTGACTTTTCTGAAAGCAAATTTCTCAATCATAAATTCTTTTCCTGATAAAGTATCAAGTGACTTTTTTTTAAACTTGATATAAACCTTAAAAAACGCAGAGCTGTAGCCCTACAAGGTACAGGGACAAAACCACCTTAAGAGGTTTAACTGTTTGCTGCTGACCATTTAAGTGAGAAAGTATAACTGGTTTGTGTGACTGTGATCTAAACAGGATTACTGAAATGATAATAATGGTTAAAAATAAAGCAAAGTTTTTGCATCCACACCACCATTGTGATGATTTAATTTCCAGTGTCCCACAACTCTTTTTTTTTTAACTTGTGCAGTTGGGGGGAATATGCAGGGGCAGTAAATTGTTTTGGACTTGGGGGAGGAAAACATGAAATCAGCTTTGCTTCATGTTTGCTCCATGCTTGGCTAATCAGATTCTTAACCTAATTAGTGCTTCTTTCCATTATCTGAAAAGAGTATAAGTTTCACATTGGCTGCAGATACAGAGGAAGAATTTCGGATGAAAGCTGCATTTTTACTTTGGGATAATAATATATTATTCATAGATGGCAAATAAGTGGTAGAAGCCATGTCAGTGTGGGGCTACCAGAAGTTCTAGAATCTTAGCTCGAGCATTCCCTCACCTTCCACTACTTAAAATTTTTTGTTGACACTGAAAATTTAGATTCTTCACAAATCAAGACTTAGACTAATTTCAAAAAATGATCCATTGTATCTTTTGTAAAAAAAAAAAAAATCTAAAATGCCTGTGTGGGAATAAAAAAGGTTCTGTAAATCTTAAATTTTGTTGATAAGTCTTCACGCTTTCAGCAGATACGGACCTTGACTCTGAGCCCAGAGACATTTATGCTTTGTGTGTGGCCTATCCTGAACCTCTTGGAGAGAGACTTTATACTGAGACAAAAATTTTTCTGGAAAATCATGTACGCCATTTGCACAAGGTAACCTATACAGTTACTTATGTACATGTAGGTATTGTTTGCCCTTTTTTGACCTTAGGGAGGGGTTTTGTTTGTTTTGTAAATCACAGATGACAAGAGTTATAGAGACAAGTAAGTGTGTGTATATATATCTGATATATGCAACACATATATTATACAACACTGTGATGCGTATGCAACACAAGAACTTTCTTTTTAAGCCAGAAATTATGGTTTATACAAAATATTTGTTGGCTCTAAAAGTAAATTTGTTCTTTTGTGTTGAATGCTTATAATCAAACGAATTACAGAAATGTTTTAGTTTTCCAAATGTGCTAGAATTTGGCATTAGCCTTCTGTTACAACATAAAAGTATCTATTCTAGTGTCTTGGAAACTGATTGTATATACTCTACTGAAGAAAACTCTGAAATATGTGGGAAATAAAGTAACAAATACTTGGGAGGAAGTAATGACAAATTATTTATTATGACAAATAACATATGTCTTGTATGCCTATGTAGCTGTGAATTAACTTCTGTCTCATCAGCTAAGACAGCTATTTTCAGCAGAAATATGATTCATCATGTTGAATATATAGGGTGGATGAACAGTGTCTCCTTGTATTTTGGTAAGAAAGTAGATTAAAATAAGATGTCTGCCTGTCTTTGTAGAGGGAATGAAGAATTGCAGATTCTGGATAGTACTGCTAAATGACTTGGTGCTATTTTTTGAGCTTAGGTAATTGTGTATTTGACAACATAGGCTGGGCATCTTAATGGGTAGTTCCACTGGTTGCAGAGAAGATACCTCTGACACGTTGGTAGGCTAAATCAGTTCACTAAACTGGCAGATAACTTGGCCAAAAAAAGTTGTTCTTCATGAGAGAGCTGAATGAGCTCACTTAGGATAATGAGACAGGTGCCAGCACAGTAGAAGCTATGGGAAGTAGCAGAAAGCATATATCCATTTTTTAAATTGGCTATCCACCATTTGTCTTTGAAATAATGTTGGAAAACCTTTGCTAAATTCATACTGCAGAGGAAAGCATTCTCGATTCTGTTTTGTTTACTAGCTTTCCTCTTTTACGTTATTTTTGCATAGACTTCTTTGCTTCTTAAGCCAAAGTTTAAAATTACATATTCTAGAGAGAATTATAGTTGAATTCCTAGGATCTCATCCTCCTTCACAAATAATACTGATTAGTTTAAATTGTTGAACTTATTCCTTTGAGGTATGAATATATTTTGAGAAGTTCAATGCATCAGCAACTTCTTAGATGACAATTTGCTTAAATCTAGGCCCAAATCTTTTGGAATTTACAGGACTTAAGATGTTTATGTTTGCGTAAATCTGCATTTTGTTAAACTTGTTTTATTCCAGGATTCTTGGTAAGTATAAGGGCTTGTCTAACCAGTAAGACATACTGATTTTAAGTGGTTATAGTTAGGCAACTCCTCCAGTGTGCGTGTGGCCGCATGAATTGAAAATTCATCTGTGTCAGTGAAGGAATAGTTATGCCAGTTATCCCACCAGTATGATGTGAAAATACGAACTATGCTTCTTCAAGCAAGTATTTCTGTAAAGATGAATAGAAAATAATACATTATAGAGATTGATCTTTTAAAATGCAAAGTAGAGCAATTTCAGGTGGTGTAGCTGGCTTACCAAAACTTTGTAGTATGAAGATTTGTTAGTTTTCTGGTCATTGCAACAATATTATTTTTAGACTGATTAGGTGTGGTCTTGATTTTGAATATGTGATTGTTATTCCAAAATGATAATCCTGTTATAACTTTCTATGTATGTATGCTATGTTCATACTAATTTTAGCGGGGGGTGTGTGTGTGTTCCTTCACAGAGAGTTCTGGAAGCTGAAGAACAAGTACTGGTTATGTATCACAGATATTGGGAAGAATATAGCAAAGGGGCAGACTATATGGACTGTTTATACAGGTAAGCTTTGCAAATGAGTTGTTACACTTTGGAAATTATTACAGTGATCTTCACTTAAGTCTAAGAATGTCACTTAAGGAGAGCAATAGCTGAATGTGCTCCAGGTCAGTTTTGGTGAGAATATAGTTATGATAGCGGGACATCAGAAGAAAGGAATAATGTTCCAACAGATTTCTCTGTGCACTGGTCCATACCACTGAAGCAATTGCCTAAGATGATACCTACTATTCTTTCGTTACTTATATATTCTACCTCCGTTGTTTCTGATGGTGCAGCGCCAAATATGTTGGTGCTAATCAATTCTGCTGTGAAGTACCTCATACTCCTAGGTGTTTTTCTACAAGGATGGCATTCTACTGAAGTGTCCACTTGAGCCAGCATGGTTTGTTTCAAAGCTTAGCCATGTACCTTGGCAAAACTACAGCTTTCTCGTCCAGAAGAGCCTTTCAGACAAGGCTATGTGCTCTTTGGGTCCTTTCTTTTCAGGTGAATGTTTGAACTGCAGGGATTGGAGAGGGAGTGAAAATTTCTCCTTACTTTTTTTTTCTGAGAACTTCAGAAACTAATAGACTGTATACAGGCAATCAATTTTACAGGTTTTTTTTCCAGTAGATTACAGCCAAGTCTATAAATAAAACCACAGCTAACTCTTGTTATTTTTGTACTTCTACTGTTTCCTGAATCACAAGTGTGTTTTATTGCTACTAGTGATAGCTTAAGCATATAAAACTCAGCCATTCATGAGTTGCTAGAATTATGACCATGTTGATATGGCTTTGAATTTACTAGAATTTGGATTTTAATTCTACTCTAACTGTAGGTTGAACGTTCTAGCGTCCATTATGCCTGTCATACCCAGGAGGTAAAAATAACTTATGAGGCACTGTTAATATTGTACTTATTTGATGGTGTGATGTAAGGATTTACAAAGGATTTCAAGACCTTTACTATTATGTTAGGAGATGTATGTGTGATCTTGTAGAATCTATTAAATTATCCCTAGCAATCTGGGAACATACGTGATAGAGTCCATCCTGGGCTTGCAAACTTCATTTCCATAATTTGTCACTGACTTAGCTGGAGAGTTGATAAAAGGGGAAAACCCCCCCCCCCTATTTAATGTATATGAATCTCACTGATTCTGCTTTGTGTAACGGTTTTTCTGAGGACTTGAGTGTTTCTGGTCATAAACCAACAAATTAAAATACTTCTCCAGCAATGTGAACCTGATTTTTTTTATTTTATTTTTAAACAAGCTAGGACATTTTTTTCCAGACACTTTTTATGCACACAAACCAACCTGTACATATATATATAAGCTCAGTAGAGTGGTATTCATGTATCAGTGAAGCTAAGTTCCTAAACTTGGAAGTTATTTATTTTGTGCCAACTCTGCCCATTCTAACTCTTCTTCCCGCTTTGCATATGGTGTTTTGGTCTAGAAAATGTACTTGTTACGTGTTCCCTTGGAAATAATTTTACTGCAAAGTTATATCTTCTTTCTTTGTGTTGAAATTCTGAGTTTTGTCATATACTTTTAAAAGTCACTGAAGGGTATGACTGTGAAAGTATGATTTTTCTCTTCAATAATAAAACGTACGTTGTAATGGGGACTAAAAGACCTTCTCACATGAGGGCAAGAAATAATTCAGTGCTTGATTAGTAGAGTCATAATGACTTTCGTGCATTGGAAACACTTCATTAAGTGGTGTGTCACTTTTTTGGTTTTTTTGAGAGAGTGTTTTGAGTGAAAGTACTTCTGAAAACCGTAAGAAGATATTATGGTTCTTTATAAATCAGTTCAGGTTCTTTTCTTACTTCCACACCTGCTCTCAAAAAAGCACCATAAATTAGTTGACTCTGTTGTATCCCAGGATCTAATTTGTATAATTCTTCCAGCAATAAAAACTAATTAATCTTTACAGCTAGTAATCTTAATGTTGTTTTTAAGTTTTAAAGAGATCTATTTAAATAGGCTCACATCTCTGCTTCTTAAAACTTCTACCCTGATAGACAATATTTGAAACACTACTAAAATGTGAGACATTTTATTTTTGAGCAAAATGTATAAAATGCAAGACCAATCATGTGACTGGCAGTACAGTCAAATGTTTTCTTTGGTGTTGATTTTGGTTTGTTTTTTTCACCCACTCCCCTGGGTATGTTTTGCTAGGAAAACAAATTTGGATTCAGTTTGAAAACTAAAATCCCATATGTGCTTGATTAAACCAAGGTGATAAAACTGATGGAATAAGGAACACTTGATGTTAAATAAACTTTAGTTGTTTTTGTTAGTTCTGAGGATAAGTATAGTAGATAAAAACAGTGCTGAACATTGGGGCTTAATAGTATCTTAGTGCTTTTTTCATAGGTAATCATACTTGTAAAAAATCTGCTTTGTGTACCTTTATTTCAAGTAATTGGAGGGTTTTCTTATAAAAAAAATAGTGGTTTTTTTTTTAAAAAAAACAGCTCAAGTTTAAAAATCTGCTCATAATAAAATCCTGAAAACTAAATACACATAGTGCAGGCTTTGCTTTGTTGTTTTTTTTAAATGCTTCTGATAATACTAGCATATTAATGTATAGTAATTTTTAGTTCTTTAGTCTAATCTTAGTTATCTATCTTTTTGTACTTTTATGTGAAACATCTTCCCTTTCATGATCAAACTTCAGCCAGTTTTGTTATAAGAGTAATTTATATTCCAATTCAAAGCATAATGTCACAGTAACCTGTAACAAAATTCAAACTAATATTAATTACAGTCCCCTTCTCATTTTTTAAGTGCTAAGAAGCTGCTGCTCTTAATCTTGCTTACCAGTTACGTACCTTAATAAATATGGGGAAGATTTAAACAAGCAAGAAGTCCCATCAACATTTGAAACCTAACATTAATGATATTTTTCTATTGAAACTTCTTCCACTGAAGGAACTGCCTTCATTTTAGGTTACAGCATTTGGTAGCCCTGGGAGATTTACTTCAACATCAGATACTTATTTTTGGTCTCATCACTTTGATGTGACTGTTGGATTCATAAAATTTTAGTGTTTGCAGTGCTTTGTTGTAATGAAGTGGCTTTCATTTATTAGCTACTCCTCAAATTGTGGTAGATTTGATCTGTAAAATAGGATTTAAGTATAAACTAGTGAACACTTCACCTGTGCTTAAGAGTGAATCAGAACAGATACTGGATTATGAAAATTTCCAGTGCTGAGTACTCGTATGTGTATACTACTAGACACGTTAAAGCATTCTGCTTGTATGAAGCACAGTGGTTCTGCTGCTTTTAGTATAGCTCTTGTGAAGTCACCATAGCATGTTTTCATTGACACATTCTTTAAAAAAAGTAGGTGTGAACAAACCTCTGAAGGTCATCCATTTCAACCTTATGCTCAGAGTAGGGCTAGCTTCAAAGTTAAACCAGGTTGCTTAAGGTTTTGCTGAGTCAGATTCTGAGCTTCTTCAAGGACAGAGAATTTGCTGCCTTTGAGCAGCTTGTGTTTTAGAATGAGAGTAATCGAGCACTAAAATTTTCCTGTATGTCTGTTTGGAATTTGTCATGCTGCAACTTGTGTCCACAGCTTCTTGTCTTTTCCCTGTGCTTCTCTGAGAAGAGTTTGTCTTCATCTTGTCTGTCTCGTGCTCTGCACCCTAGCTATTTCAGTGAGCTTTCTCTGGACTCTTCCATTTGTTCAGAGCTGTTGTATTTGAGTACTCAGAACTGGTCATGATATTCCAGGCATGTCCTCACAAGTGCTGAGGAAACAATCACCTGCCTTAACTTGCTGGTACGCTCTTGCCAGTGGAGCCAAGGAGGTGGTTGGTTCACTGTTGGCTCAGCAAGACAAACTGCTAACTTAGCATCCACCCCTGAGGAACACTGTTCATAACTGGTCCCTGGATAGATTTGACACCACTGACCACATGAATGCACATGGAAATTATTGAAAACACGAATACAATTGCTAATTCCTATTATACAGAAAGGTACCCATTTATAACTTTGTCATGTGGTTGCGTACTCATTCTGTAGCTTGCAAAGCAATTTAATTGTGTAAGTGGTACGTTGAAGAGAATCTTAAAACCAAACTGAATGCCTCTGACAACTAACTGTAATAATTAGTCCTAGCTAATTAGTTATTTTTCTTAATTGTCTCCTGTACATCAGAAGAGCGAATGATACTGCTATATAGGGTCTTTATCCATTTCTCTGTCCCTGAGCACTCGCAGTGCCCTGTGAAAATCATTAGCAGGGTTCTCTCGGTGCAAATTTCTGAAAGCAATTTCCTCAGCACTTGGTCGGGTTTATTCCTGTGTACTGTTCTGCTCAGCTCACGTGCCATAGCAATCTGACTGTGTGTGTAGAAAGGGGCAGGGGGAGGGGTGGAAAAAGAGTGGTTACTGAAAAGTTTCTTCTTTATCTTTGGAGAGCTTTCAGATGAGGACAAAATTTAATAGAGGGAGTCTCCCATTTTTGCTTAAAAAAAGTATGGTACTTCTAGAAATATATATAATCATGTGTGTTGTTTTGTGGTATCATATCATGAATGGACAAAGACTTAAAGGAGGTAAATTCTTTTGGCTTTATCATGGAGAACGTAAGAAAATAAGCAGGAGCTGACTTGAGACAGGTACGCTCTTAGATTTATTACATTCAAGCTAAATTTCACAATGTCTGTTTTGCCAATGCTAATATTTGTTTCTTATCCAGGAGCGTGTAATTCAAATTACTAAAACCAAATAAAACATTAAAAGAAAAAGTACGCATCTAATCTTTCTGACAAGGCTTTGCAAAGTCTGTCCCCACAAGGACATTGTGGACTATGGAGATGTGGAAACATTGTTTTGAGAGCATGGTCACTGTATCTACAATAGTAATCTGTGGTTAGAGTATTGTCCTTGGTTGATTTAAAAGTACCAAATACATGGAAGTTACCAGGTAACCTGTCCCTCAATAATTAGCTACCCTTCTAATTGTTAAATTAGTTCTTGCAGTTTGTTTTTTTTCTAAATTCTTCATGAAAGAACTTATCCTTTTATTTTGTTGAATTACCAAGTCCTTTGTATCTGAAAAAAATTGCCCACAGAAATATTCATGTATCAACTCCTTTCCAGTGTTTAGGTGGAACACTGTCTTTAGTATTCCACTGTAAACTAGGTATTTGTTTTGAATGAGTCTTGTAATGCTCTTCTAAATTTAAAACTTTTTGACTTCTTTGTGGAGTGGAAGCTTGGTGGGTGTGTTTTGAGGTTTGGGTACTGAATGCTAATACCATGAAAGGAAACAAACCTCAATTTTCTCATCTTGTTTGCTGTTTTCCTTGTCAGTAAAGCATAAACCTGCACAGGTGCACTCAAGTAATTGGGCCTGAGCTGTGTGACCAGGTGTTTCAAACTTTCACCTGAAAGCTTTATGTCAATATTAGCAAGAGTCTGTTGGTAATTTGTGGTATTATCAATCCATGCCCAGTCCTTGTCTCCACAATAAGTTACAGATGAACCTTGTGGATTGCCTTCTAAAAGTAAGAAATACAGATGAAGTATTTGAAGTAGTTATTAAAGGTGAAAAATGGTTTATGACTTGAGTGGAGAAGTTGATTTGAGATTATACTGTTTCCACATCCTTTGCAGTTATTTGTTTGTGTTTGGTTCTGGAAGCTGACGGTAAAAGTAGGTGAAGGGGAGAGGAAATGTGGGCAAACTTGGTTTTGGTTTTGAGGCAGAGTGTGGTGATGCTCTTGCCATGAGTGGTGGTTCTTGCCACTGCCTTTTTGCCTGAATCAGGTAGGTCTCTACAGGGGTACCCAATCTAGGTCAAACTTGTTTATTTACTTGTGGCTATATTAGTTTTAAGATGGATCAGTTGCCCAATCTGAGAAAGCATGTACTGGTGGAAGGGGGGGAGAGGGTGTGAATAGGAGAGCATAGGGCTTTTCCTTTTTAGCAAGCTTAACAGGAAAAAGCAGAATGGCAGCTGCTGGCTTTGTTCACATGGTGGGGTGGGGGCAATATCATCAAGGAGCATGCCTGCTTAAGGCTTGTTTTCCAACTATTCTGGATGTCCACGCAAGTTTTGTATGAAAGCCTGCAGCCTTCTACACAGACCTACATTTACAGTTTATGATGGTTCTTGATGGTACCAGAGCAGTTCACAGTACTCAAAGACTCTGGAGTATGAAAGTAGGTTAGGCCACTGTATTCCAGTTCGTCACCACTGCACTATCACAAGTCTTCCTTCTTTGGACTCTGTCCTCAATTCTTTCAGTTTCACAGATTTTCATAGTGTGTTTCTCCTTTTCTTCTTTGCTTGTCATTTGCCTTCCTGCCCAAAGTGTTCAGACATCACTAGTTTGGTGCAGCCTCTGAAGCCTGAATCTCTTAAAGCACTTCAGCAGTCTGGCTCTCTTCAATGTCTGAAACTGGGCGTCTCAAAATTGCTAGTTGGATTGGAATTTTTTAAAAAAATATTGTTATCTCATTTAAGCACTAGCATAACAAATATTATAAATGTAGTTATGAAAGATATTAGACATTTTCCCCAGTCATCTGGGAAAGAGAAGGAGAATAGTTTCAGTTTAAAAATGTTATTGTATTTCTTTTAAGGGAATACTGAGAATTAAGAGGGATGTTTCATCAGGTTTCACACAGAAACCATTTTCTGCTCTTTATAAAAACTATGTGTACAATAGTAAATACTAAAATAAAGCATTTATAACATTTTCTCCTTCATAACTGTTAATTAAAATAATTTCTGCAAAGTTTTCTCTTAGCTTTAAAATTTGTAATATAACTGTTTGCTAGTTATCATGGCCTGAGTAAGGGATCATAACTGACAAAAATTTGTGCTGTAAAAATTGACATTATTTTGGCGTTTTAGTCTGAGAGAAATGCAAAATAATAAACAGTACAGGTAGAAGAAAATAAATTTTACTTAAATATCTGATACTCAGGAACCTTTTTCTATCACTAAAAATAAACAAACTACTATCACTGTGATACTAGTCTGCTCAGAATTTAGCAGTTATTTTGCATATACATGTATCAGTAATATGGCAGCGTATGTTGGATTCTTACACAAGTATATAGCACACCAAGAAAATGCTATATCAGGCTACTGTTTGATATCTCAGTTACTAACACTGTACTGTTTTAATATGATCTAAAGTCTTTTAAATTGAAGTCATTTATATTTCAAGAATTTCCTACAGATAGCAATGGCATTGGTTAAAAGAGGTTATCTTTTGTGATGTGGAATACATTACACAATTCCAAATCTATTTTTAAAAAATAGTTTAACTTTTGCCTGTTTTGATTAGATTATCTTTATTTCTATAGGTACCTCAACACACAGTTTATTAAGAAGAACAAATTGACTGAAGCTGACCTTCAGTATGGTTATGGAGGGGTGGATATGAACGAACCATTGATGGAAATAGGAGAGGTAGGTATCTCTGAAAGTGGGAGTGAGTATAAACTTTATTCAGAAGCGCTACAAGTTCAGCTTTGTCCTTTTGAATTTTGACTTTTCTGTGTCACAGAATCTGAATAGTTAAATACAGTAGATGATGTAAGCACTGAACCTTTTGTAAAATGAGATACAGTTTTGATGTAGAAAAATATAATGACCTAGGGGGAAAAAAGCAAATATGAAAACTATTGGAGAACTGCAGCTTAAAATGTGGTAATAGGTACCACTTTGCAAAAAACCTTTGGTTTATTAAGTGACACTACTATCTAGAAAATATTTTGAAGAAGCAGTACTTTTCTTTTTGGAAACCCTTGAAATACTATTTTTAGGCTTCAATTTCTTGATGTCATGAAGTGTAACAGCTTTTTGAGATTAGTCTTCTGTACATCTTATTTTCTAATGCAAGCTATTTTGTACTTCTGTTGTAGCAACTTGGATAGAGATTTGGAAAGAAAAAGTAGACATTCTGTGCACAAAAGTATAATATAGGGAGGGCTTTTCTTTTAAAAAAAAAAAAAAGAAATTTGAGGCAAGCACAAGGGTGTTGACACAGTTACTAATGTAAGTTGGAGAGGCCAAGAGTCATTTTTAAATACCTAGAAAATGAAAAAAAATTGTCAGTAGTAGAACTATATTGTGACATATCACCCTCTGCTCTTCAGCTATGCAGAAGTGAACTATACATCATTTCTGTTACTTCATTAAATATAAGTAAAATGATAAAAAAATTTTACAGTAAAAAAACACTTTTGAATTTTTCAAAACAAAGTGTTTCAATATGTCTTTAAGAAGATTTTGGAAACACCTTTTCAGCCTGAATCAGAGCAAAACTGCAATCCTGAATACAGCTGAGTAGAAACTTTTACTTTCAATGCTTGTCTGTGTGGCTGTTTGCTTTGTGTCTGTATGTATACACACTGCTAGCTGGAGAATTAATTTTATTCTGTCATTCTCTGTAGTGGTGTATTGTTTTTTTCCTTTCCTATTTACATTTGCCTTTTTCTCTAAAAGGGAAGTGAACACTTTGTCTCGTGGTTTTTTTTTTTTTGGAAAGCTAGAGAAAATGCCTTTTTTTTCCCTTAGTGTCAGAAGTTGACCTGTGACTGATTACTGTTCTAGCTCTTTGATTTCATTGTTTTAAGTAGGAGATCTCTGCTGCCTTTAGTTAAGAGTAAGGAGAGATTGTGATGCATGAAGAAGCACCTTCTGTGCTTCTGACCCAGCTACCCAGCTGATGAAGATGGCACTACCAGTTGAAATTGCTAATCCTCTGACAGATTGGGGGTGGGCTGAAAAAAACACCATAAACATGATATACATTAAGTCAAGACAATTCAGGAAAGGAAATTCTCTTGTCTACCTGTGCTGTCTCCAAGGCTTGCTAATCAGTGGCATCTGTAAAGGCTTATCAGAGCTTGGAAGTGCATATTGCTGCACTGTTTGTGGTGTCTTCAAAATGGCATAAATGTTACTTCTTATTTCTTCAGACAGATTTAGCCAAGTCTGTTCCCACGGTTGCCAGAAGTTGTCCTTAGCTCTGTGTGAATGACTATTAGTTCAGCTGCTTTGGGGGCTGGGAATAGGTCTGGGCTTGTTCTTGGGTCTGTGTGATGCTGATGTATTAATGAATTCTCCTCGCGTTTGTGTGCTACTCCATTCTGAGGTATCACCCAAAGGATGGTAGTGGCAACTTTTGTCTGTTGCTTTCTGCCCTAGGATATGTTTACCAAAGAACTACAAACAGCAGACCTGATAATTCAGCTTTTTTTGAGTATTCAGTTTTCCTTATTCTTATGGAGTCGTAAGAGGGGCATAAGGACAATAACGCACGCTTTTCTTCAGGCTTCCCAGAAGTCATTCCTAGGATGGTACATCCTTAGCTCATCATTTGGGCAGGTTAAGGGGAGGGTCAAGATTCTTAAACTGTAGCTGGCAGCCTTTGTTTCTTAATGAAGATGTTTGGATGATGATGTCTGGGATTCTACTGATGAGTTTTTCATTATCCCACTCTCCAAGACTCCTTCCATTTCTCTTGACCAAACACTGTCTTTGTAACCTGTAGTAGTAGGAGGTAAACTTTGGATCTTGAGGCAGTAAAGTTCATCTCTGTTCGTTACTGTTATAGGATTAGGTTTATGGCAGTTACTCCTTTGCCCTGAAAAGGAATGGAGACTTGAGTCCTACACTCAGGTAGTTTAATGCATTAAATTGCAGCAATTTTGGTGAATTCATTGCCCCAGAAATCAAAGTAGGTAAAATTTCTTGACCTACAAGGCACTTGCCAAGTTAATCAAGTCTTTGTTTTGAAAGCATTTTCTCTTTTGTTATGGTTCCTGTTTAGGGTTCTATCTTGTATTCTTTGGATTGCACTAGGGACTTGGACAGAAGTCTTTATTTCAGTTGTTCATAGCTTTAGGATGGAGGGAATTATGATTTATCCCTTTTTGGATGATGAGATGATCTGTCCTTTATATACCCAAGAACAAACATGCTTATTTTATATATAGTTCTTTTCAGTTTCAGCATGAAGTTGCAGAAATAATGCCCAGTATTTGTAGAAGCAGAACTGTTCTGTGTACTGAAGTTTCTGTCTCAGCGTCACTCCTGTGTGCTAACGAAACTTTGGGAGCTTTTCAGTAATCTTAAACGAGTACATGCTTGCTTAGTTCTCCTGGGGTGTGTAACAGGAGGTACGTACACACCTCCATTCTCTTGTATCTGATGTGTATGGGCTTGGCTTCAAACAGTTTATCATCCCAATAAGCGCTCCAGACATTCAGTAATTGTACCAGGAAAAATACAGGATGAGATCAGTTGATGGTGGTAGTCTGCCAGTGCTTACAAGAGACTATTTTTTTCTATCTGTATGTAATGAATGCATGGTGAAGCATACTGCTTTTCTGAGTTGATCTCCCATCACCAGTTTCAGACTTCTGAGTTTTCAATGACTCTGTAGGAGCCCTGAGCTAGAAGGTAGTTAAGATGTGTCTTCTGTTTACTTCCCCCATCATGGGGCAGCAGATTCTGGAAAATGGAGGAAACTGCCATATTCTGTATTGTCAGTCTAGGTGGAGAAGTAAGATCAGTCCCTCCCTTCAAGGAGAAAAAAGTTTCTTGAACTAATACATCAAGTTGCTGGATTGACCTGTCTGTAGCTTACCTGAGAAGAAAATTCCAACAGGCAACTTGAAGCTATTTTACATTGGTAGATCATATGTGAGAGGGACTGTGTTAGAGACTGCATTTCAGAGACCACATTGCAGAATAGAATCACCTGAGGTCAGTCACCCCCTTTGCTTCATAGTCACAAAATGTGTCAGTCTTTTTTATTCTTCAGAACTAGCTTCTTTCAGCATTCTCTCCTGGATGAGTTTCTGATGTCTTAGGGAAACTGTTTTCTGCTAACTGTTCTACTGCTACTCTCCACAAGGCAAGACAGTGAAAATCACTCCTAAGACAACTTTGCTTTCAAAACATTGTCTGTCTTTTGATTTATAAGCAAACCTTTACCTTTTCTTTGAACCTCCTTATGATGCAGTTGGGTCTGCTTTACCTCCCAGAATTATTCTTTGTTAGACATACCAGTGTCTGTACACATTCAAACACTTCAGATGGGAAGGCATGTTACTTACATATTACTGTGCAGATGTTTTGTTTATATGTATACTTAAAACTTGCCCTCATAGCTAACTTAGCGTCCTTATATGCATTTGAGAATCCTTGGTAGTGGAACCAAGAAATAAATCAGTCCTATGAGAAATGTAGGAAGCATGCATTCAGACACTGTCTGACTAGAAAATCTGTCTGATGCTGCTAATGTACACATCTGTGTGATATTATCCAAATGCAGTCAGATGTTCTAGAAGAAAAATTACAAAATAATATATCAATATATTGACAAATGGGGGGGGCAAACAAAAGAATTTTAAAAGGAGAAAGAAGAGGATATCTAACAACTTAATCTTTAAAATTCTGACTGGGGAATTGCATCATCTTTTGATTTTTGTTTTGAGGGTTGTTTTTGTATTTTTTTATTGATGTAAAACTTGTGTTGTGTCCTGACAGCTAGCTCTTGATATGTGGAGAAAATTAATGATTGAGCCTCTGCAGGCCATCCTTATTCGGATGCTCCTCCGAGAAATAAAAAAGTGAGTGCTTGATTATTTTTTGCTTTTACACAATGTGGGGGTATTGCACTTTCTTACTTTGAAAAGTCCAGGGACTTCATGGTTTGTTTTTTTGAAGGTTGCTTCTTACCTGATGATGATATTCTATCAGCTTTTCTCATTGTAGCTACATACTTGTGGTTTGCATGTGTAGAAGACGACTCTGAAAAGAAAATAGTTAATTCACTGTAACCTGAGGGTAGTCATCCTTTCTGTTTCACCAACCCTTCTTATCAATGTGATTGGGGAGTAGTTAGGATAGTTCTCCAGGTCCCATAGGATGCCTTTCACTTTTTTCTTCACCTGATGCTGACTGCTTATGGCTTCTGTGCTGTCAGTAAACACAAAGACCAGAACTTATGCAAGGATTTGCCAAAGCCAGAAAAGCCATGTTGCTTTGCATGAGACCCAAAACAATTCTGGCTCTTGTGGCAGATAAGCAAAGCTTCTGGGTTTCTGTTGTTCAAATGAGTGACTTGACTTAACATTCTTGGTGCTTTAATTGAATAAAATGGCAAATTTTTTTTTTCACTTTGGGATAATTTATTGTTTTATTTCTCAATATCTTTGTTGCTTTTAAACAAAGACCCTGGTAGTTACAGGACTTGGGACTTTTAAAGTTTTTATTTAAAACCTTACACTATTTAACTGCTAAAGGATCTTTTCATTTACGACTAAACAGAAATTTTGAAATATACTGCAGACCTTGTGTCTAGTTGTAAGTTCTGTTGGTTTCTACACTTTTACTACTGTATAGGGTGGCTCTGGAGTTGCCTAATGACTGTTGGTTTTTTGTGTGGTGTTTTTTTTTAAGTGATTGCATGCCTGACTCAGGTGACCAGGCTAGTGTAGGTAAACTGAAAGAATGAGGTAATTTGGCTGATTGAGGTGCCTTGGACATGCACTTGGTCAGCCAAAAAGCTATATTTATAAGGCATTAAGAAACTGATTTTAATATTATAATTTTTATTTTTTCTTCCTGAATTAAATGTTTGACTAAGTAATGTCCCTCTCAGATGGTGTTTTTGCAGCCGGGAATTATTTACTTCCTTTCAGTTGTTGAACCATGTTTCCTTTGTAACCAGTGCCAATACTGCTTTATCCATATGTTTACTGTAACAATGTATTTGTACTAAATGAAGATTCCCTAATTCATGGTGAAGAGAATTCTGCTTTGTTACATTAAGCACAGTGACAGTGAAGACTACTTTTAGTTAATCTATGTATTTCACTGGTGGGTGGGAGGGTAAATCTGTGCTAGAACCTTTTTCAACAGACATCTGGTGCCTCTTAAGAGAGTAATGGTATGTATTTACCTTGAGGCTGACTGCAGACGTCAAGGGTGTTTAGATCAAGACTGTCACTGGCTCTGTGGGGAGTTAGACCTTGAGACTGTAATGAGTTGATGTTATTTGTTATTAAACCATTTGGAAAGTTTAAAATAAAACTTGAGTCATTGTCTCTAATGGTTGGGTCTGTATTTTTTTCCCCTCTGTTATTAAGGATTCTTCTGTGTGATCTCAAAGAAGTTAATTCAACTCTGTTTCTCAAAATATACATGTAACAATTTGTATTAAGTTAGTTTTAGCCACTGTGTCATCTCCCTATCATGTAATGAACTGTATAAGAGTGAACTTATTATAGCTGTTCTTCCTGGTGTCATGAAATGTCGGGCTTGCTATGGGTATTCTGAAAATGGCCTTTGCACGTAACTGTAGGCTTGTTGCTGTGATTCCAGTGGCCAATACAGTTTGTAAGAAGCAATTTTGAAGACTTTGCTGCAAATGGCTGTTAAATGTCTTTTAGCATTGAGTTCGGCAATTCAGGGATTAAACAATGTCTTTGAAGAAATGGATATCAATAAGTTACATCTAGTAGAGGTGCAAGAATATGCATGGAAAGTTTACTACCTAAAAAATGTAATAAAATTACTAATACATGTATATACTTAAGAAGGCATCTAATCAAGAGGTTTCTAAGTGTAGTACTTCAGTGTGTGCATGGTTTAATTTATTAAAGTGTTTTAAAAAATATAAAATATAAATAGATGGGACAGTTGAACTTCTTATAACCAGAAGATTTTGCATAGTATACAACAATATGTGGAATTGATAACCAATGTTGTAGTCAACTGGTTGCATTTAAAGTATGTTTATTACTGTACGGGACAAGGTAGGGGGAGCAGAGCCACAAATTTTGCTTTCAGGTTTCATTTTATCAATGTATTTAATTGGAATTTAAAAAAGACTTCTGGCTAAAATTTTGATCACATCTACTTTTTAGCTATAAACTTGTGCAATACACTACACATTAAAATTAACAAGAAGGTTTTTTGGTACATGAAAATTAAGAAATACAAGTAGTGACTTGTGGTTCAGCTGAACAAGATGGCTAAACTGATTTAAGAGTTTGCTGATGCCAAAAAGGATTAGGCTATGCTCTGCTACCTTTCTTGCGCTGAATTTGGTGCTCATCTAGTCCCTTAGTGAACCAACTCAACCGCTAATACGACAGAAAACCATCTTGGCTAATATTTCTCCAGATTGGCATGATGAGTCAGTTCAGCAAAGAATTAGATGAGCGCCCAAGCAATGCAAGAGACAGAGACCTGTGACTGAGCATAAGGGAGCAGCATTAGCCCCCTTGAACAGCAGAGAATTGTTAAATCACTTAAGCCTGTCTTGTCTGACTGCACTCCTCTTAATACAGAGTTCTGAATATAACACACTTTCTTCCCCCTCCCTCTAGCCCAAGCACTCCTCCTACAAGGCAAGCTGAATATCAACTTACGCATTTTTGTTTCAACACAACAGGAAGCCGACAAGATCTCCAATTGTGAGAAAATTCATCTATGAAATTCTTAAACAGAAATAATTTGGAAATTATTCAGGTGCTATCTCAAATGACAGTGTGATTAGTACAGACTAACCAGGAGAGGCTTCTCTACTAAAGATAACTAATGCTTTCTAACTAACTGAACCTATTCCTGTCCAAGCCGATACACTATTTATACTATTTGTTTGAAAGGAAAGCTATTGGAAGTCAGTTACTCTTTAAAAAGTGTTCAAAACAGACTCTTTTGGTTCACAGTGAATTCTGTAGTTGATTGGACTCGATAGGCCATTGGTCTGACACAGCAGAGCACATCTTCTGAATGATGGAATCTTCTTTTAATGAATGTAGTATTTATTATTGTACATCAAACTTTAAATATGTTCTATAGGGCTATAGTACACTGTATGATACATGTTAAACTTCCACTGTTAGCTTTAGTCTTAAGGTAGGAATAAGATGGAATTAATACAAGGCAGCACAACATCCTTGAGCTTGTTTTTTGTAGTTTTCTCCATTTCTTTTGAAAAAAAGAAACTCAGCAGCAGCAGGATGAGTGGCACTTGTGTTTCTAGTGGTTTATCTTTTTGTCTAGATTCCCCCCCAAACATCATCATTCGCTACTACTGTCACAAGATCTCCTGTGACATCCCTACCTCAAACTGTGCTATAGCTGCTCTGTAGATGTGTGTCTGGCTTGCTTGCTGGCTACTACTGAGAAGGAAAATGTACACTTAATAGATGTACACCTTGGTGGGCTCACCAATTTCTCTCAGTTTAGTTTGGCCGATCCTGTTCTTACCACAACTTTTGTGAAAATCATTCTTGAAACTTCTGTCAAATTTTGTTGGAACTAGCCATTTGCATTACAAATTCTTGGAGCAGAGTGCTATTGACTTAAATAAAAACCTTGAAGGTGTTGCCAAAGGGGAAAGAATGATAGTTTTGTGACATATGCTATTTGTCTTGGAAATAGTGTCGCTTTTCAGATGGAACTACGTTATGAACTTCATCATGAACCTGTCACTGAATTTTGTGACAACTTTGCTGTAAATATATAATACTCACTGAGGAAACCTATGTTAAGCTACTAAAAATTCTGCAAGTTTGAGGGGAAAAATAAGGAATGTGGGCATTTGTTATAAATAAATGCTTACATGATGCTGGTGGTTGTTCCAAACTTGTCACTTGATTGGCAACTACATCTTCACTACCTCTGTATTCAGACATGGATTTAAATTGTTATCTTTGTGTGTACTACCAGGCACTCAACAGGCAGGCCAGTTCCATGTTGCATTCCTTTTCGTCTATTGCCTTCATGCCATCTGGCCTCTGCTTTGAAAGCCTGTCTCCTCCCTTGCAGCTCTTCCATGGAGCATATTCCTCCTGTACTTTTACAACTTTTTCCTAATGATACATTGACCTTTGAATCCACTGGGCCTGACCTTTGCTGCTCCCTCTCCTCCTGCATCGGTGTGGGCTAAGACGTCTGTGAAGTGGCCTGTGAACTGAGCAAAGGAGAGCTGGGTCTCCATCTGTTACTACAGTAATGTTTCTTGTGTTTGTGTCACTAGTATCTTTCCAGGTCTAGAACCTCGTGTGCTAGAGGTGGACTGGACTGTCTCTTAGCAGAGCCCTGCTTTGTAATATGCTCGACTTTTTGTTACGTAGCTTTCTGCACTCCATGATGTGGTGCTGCATTCGTAGGCTGCGTGCATCGTGCAGCTCACCATGGTCCTGGGCCCCTTTGGGATGGAGCTGGGTCCAGGGCCTGGTCTGGTGTAACACTTCTTCGCCTCTGTGACATGCTGCTTCTGCTATCGTATACCCAGACCCAGCAGAGAGATCCTGACAAGAATGCAGGGTGTGATTGCATGTACCCAAACCCAGATTTATTTTATTGGTTCAGCTACCAGAACCAGAGGAGGAAAAAAAAATAAAAAAAATCAGACCATCCCTGATGGAGCAGTTACTCATTAGGTCAGCTCACGTGTAACAGGTGACCAAGCCGCATAACCTGTATAGTGACTACTTGTGATCTGTTAGAGAGCTAGTTCTTTCCACCCATCATCAGCTTAAGTTTTCAGATCTTAGGACGCAGTAGTATTTAAAAGCAATATGCATGATTAACACTGTTGTGAACATATGAATATGGTCTGATGTATGTAATACGATGACCGCTGATGTGGTTGTCTGGTAAACCTCATAGGCATCCTCTGGAGTCGAAAATGAATGAAATTCGCAAAATTATTTCTCCACCATTCCACCTCAGCCTATATAAGTAAATGGTAATGTTTCTGTTTGAAGTATTTTTGCTGGCTTTTTTTTTTTTTTAAATCACTCATGTAAATGATTCCCTTACACCAACATAAGTTTATAACAGAGAACTCATTTTGTCTTTTCAGTGCAATCTGGGTAACGTAAAAGTTCTTATTCTATGTATGTGTATATATATGTGTACATATGTATTTAAAAAAGGAAAACCTTTGAAATTACAGCTGCTGATGCTTAAGTGTAAATATACATTTATAAATCATATTTTAGTCCTATGTAATGCCTTAGGAGTTAAGGAGCATTTTTTACTTCTTTATTAAGTGTATGTGAAATGTGGTCTTTTTTAGAACAGTTCATGTTTTAAGAAACTCTCCGCTGCTCTGAGCGGGGGTCCGTTATTTCCAGTCTTTGCAAAGGAGTGAACACTAATGTTCTTAGCATGCAAAACACTTGTTTTAATTACTTTTGGTTTCAACCGAATGGGACTAAAGATAATATTTTCTTTACTTGAACTTGCTCATTTGAAGTTAAGAACTTCACTGGAAAACATGAGTTTTTCCAATGTATGATGAAAAATTGTGATGATGCATCAAATACGTTATTTGTTCCATTTGGCATCTACATGTTGAATAGTAGGTATTCAGAAAAGAAAATAGTGTATCTCTTGGTGTGATGTTGGCAAAAATGAATTTTTATTGGCAGGGGCAGGAACGTGAAGGTAGTCTTTTTGATAAAGGCTTCAGATACAAGGTGGCACTTACTGTAATTTGGAATATCTATATCCTTAGCGAACACTTGGAAATTTCATGACCTGCAAATGCTTTTGAATAGTTTATGAATTGCTGTCTCTACGATTTAAATGTATAGGAGAGAAAGAAGAGTACATTTTTATTTTAAGATTAATCTTCTTCAATTTTGCCAATCTAAGCAGAGGAATTTACTGGAAAATGTTTTCATCCAATATTATTTCATTCGACTATCAGATGAGTTACATTAGATATCTACATTCTCATGTTTGCTTTGCCTATTTCAGTGATCGCTGTGGAGAAGACCCAAACCAGAAAGTAATCCATGGGGTTATTAACTCCTTTGTTCATGTTGAACAGTATAAGAAAAAATTCCCCCTAAAGGTAGACATCTATTTCTGATTTATTTTTTTTTAATTTTGAATGTTAACCTAGTATATGTATTATTTGTCCTTTAAAAAAAATTCTCACTTTTAGTTTTATCAGGAAACTTTTGAGTGTCCTTTTCTGAATGAAACAGGGGAGTATTATAAACAAGAAGCTTCAAATTTATTGCAAGAGTCAAATTGCTCACAATACATGGAGAAGGTAAGAGATTCTTCTGTATTCATGCAATACGTAAAAGCTAATATTATCAATTTACTGATGATACGCATTTTCTTGTACAGTTCCCATAGTTGTTCTTTGTTGTAAGCTTTCATGCAGCTTAAATATGCTTTTTGGTTGCCTGGTTCTAAATATAGGTTAAGCTGAATATAAACTACAAACCTTGGCTATGGATGGACTGTCAGCTTCAAAATATTTCCTAATAAATGATGAATCAATCATATGAAAACTAAAAAAAAAAACCAACCCCCCAAAAAACCCCACACCCACAAAAAAACCCCACACAAAACAAAAAAAACCTCAAAACCCAAACCACGTGTCAGGTTGATCAGTATTGCTTCCTCACTTTCCTTCTGTTTATAGTAGCATAAGATGAGGGTTTTAACAATAATGGTTAGTGAAGGCTATATGGTAGAGTTGTTACAGAGTATTGTTAAAAGTCACATACGCTGAGGTGAATTTTCTTTTGCTCTGCTTCATGGTGTATGAAGTCAGTTTGGGGTTAAATTACTTGTAATTCTTATACTTTGCTTGAGGAAGCAAAGATTAATACAACACTAGGAGCCAGTCCTTGGTGCTATACTATCCACACTCACAAGATAGAACAGTTAAGGAGAAGGCTGTGAGATTGCTTTTAACCATAAGGAGCATAAGCTAATGATAGCACACCTGAGGTGAAATTCAGGGACAGGCTAAGACTTCAATTAAACCAAAAGAAATGCAGATTCATTTTGTCTATCACTAGCAGTCTGCAGCTGCGCTACTCTCCCTCGGCTCCCCTTATATTCACTGGATCTAAGTACTTTCAGGTCAGCATTCATATGACTCATTTTGTGTTATGCCTATTTTCTTCATTGAAGTTATAAAGAGAGTTTTTATTAATAGCTCAGATGTAAACCTATGCCTTTTGAGCAGATGTTTATGTACAAGAAGATGGAACAGTAAAGTGATTCTTACAGTCATATAATTAGGTACCGTGGTAAAACTTTCTCAGAAGGAATAAGAAGTGTGGTAGGAGGAATTGGGGATGACTGGTCACAAAGTTGAAGGGAAGAAGAAATTTTAAGAGAACTACTGAGTGCTGTTAGACATCTAGTAGTGACTGAGCCTAGTCAGTACTCGGGGGTGGTGTGGTGTGTAGAAGATTAAATTAATTCAGCAACAACCTGATTCAAAATAAGCAAATTTTAGTATTTCAGCATCCTGGACAAGTTCTTTTAGTTACTCATGTGTCTCATTTTGCATACACATACTGTTGTACATTCATGGTTCTATATTGGTTGTTAGTATTTCATCGGCTCTCAGTTTAAAAACTTGTCTGCAGGTTTTAGGTAGATTAAAAGATGAAGAAATGCGGTGTCGGAAATACTTGCATCCCAGCTCATACGGCAAAGTGATTCATGAATGCCAGCAGAGAATGGTAGCTGATCACTTGCAGTTTCTACATGCAGAATGTCACAATATTATCAGACAAGAGAAAAGAAGTGGTGAGTGTCAATAGTCCCAAAAGGCATGAAGTGTTTTTTGGTTTTTTATTCATTTAGCATTGCAATTTACTATCTTTATTGAGTGACTTTCTATGCGCTTAAGCATTTTCAACTAATTTATGTTACTTATCCAGAAAGCGCAGTTCAACCCTGAATGACGTTTTTCTTTTACCATGTAATTCATTTTCATTCTTCCAAATATATAGTTGAAAACCTTTTTACTGTTAACAACCCTTCTTTCAGCCAATACTCTTTCTCTTTCCTTGTCCTAGTCGGCTTAAAAATACACTGCAGTCCTGTGTCCTGTAGAATTGATCATATTTTATGCTTGTGTTTTCATTTGTAAACCAATGGCTCTGTCTTTACAGATTTCTTCATCATCATTTGACAGGTCATGATTATAAAATATTTTTGCTGCTTTTCATAGCCACTTTTTATTGTCCTGATTTTTTTTGTGACCTCTCTGCCCAAATCCTTTTTACAGAAGCAGATGCTCTTGTAATTATATTCCCTGCCTGACTAAAAAAAATTATGCTTCCTGATGACTATATGCTTCTTACCCTTGAAAGAATGCTGATTCTTGCATGGAAGATGGTATCTATTATGTGAAACAGATTATTTTTCACAGTCAAAGTCAAATTATATCTAATAATAGTGTTCAGTTTCCAGAGGGTTTTGCGGAATTGATCAGAGCTTGGATCCCTTTTTTGGGGAAAAAATAAAAAAAACAAAAAAACCCCAAACACAAAAAAAACCAAACCCCAATCAAAAACAACAGAACAAAAATCCTCCATAAAAATAGCAGTTGCTTATTTACAGCTTTTCTAACCTGAGAAGAGTTTCAAGCCACTGCTGAAGGGAAACAAAAAGTCAAGAAGATATCTAAACTGATTTTAGTTAGCTGCTGCGAAGGGAGATTTGGGGAGGCCAAGGATTAAAATAAACTGGTACAACACTTTTCCATACTAGCCCATCTTTCCTCTTGGAGTCTCTCTTAAACAAGGAGTATTGGTAGAGTGAGGTGGTCACAATGATAGTACTCAGTAAATACTGATATTATCCCTACTGTTTCCTTTTTTAATTTTGTCTGTGATCCAGTGTATGTTAAATTTTTTTTAAACCAGTTGGTCTTGTTTCAGTCTTTGAAAAGTTCTGTGTGAAATTATGATACTATATTAAGTGTTGATTTTTAGTGTTTCTAAGCATATTCTATAAAAATGTATCTCTGTTACAGACATGGCAAATATGTATACTCTACTTCGTGCTGTGTCAAGTGGTTTACCTCATATGATTCAGGAACTACAAAACCATATCCATGATGAGGGCCTTAGAGCAACCAGCAATCTTTCTCAGGAAAATGTGAGTTTCCTTAGGCAGCTGAAATCACCTATTTGATTAACATTCCTGATGAAATGTTTACCCTTTTCTTTTTAGTCTATTCTGGGTTTTTTTGTCTATATGAAATTGGTTTGGAACATTATGGATAAATTGTAACTTCTAATTAGCACGCTTAGCTGTGCAACACATATCTATCCTGAGAGTTGATTGTTGTGATCTAACCAGAAACAACTACAGCTAGATATTTCTCATTGTCGTTTGTTTAATGCTGTCATGGCAAGTAGGTCCTTTTGTTCCATGTATGTATTTTTTTCCCGAATTTCTCTAAGTCAGTGGCATTAGCTGTTCTGGTACGTTAGGAACCAATGATGCCATTTAGTTTAATTATATGTTATTTGTAAAGACCTGACATCTTGTCCTGATTTTAGTGTGGTGTTTTTCACTAATAGCTTTGTAGTCTCATATTTTCATGTAATTTCTGAAAACACTGTAGCTTAATTATTTTACTAAAGTGTGTTAAACTTTCTTCAGTTCATATGTATTTAAATTACTCAATTCCATTTTTGTTCCTCTAGCATTGTTCAGAAACAGACAAACAAGCTTTCATTTGGCATTATATTTGTACATGTATACATCTTGCTGTCTAGATCTGTGCTCATTTTAGGACAGTGACTTTAGCCATCCAGTGTTTCTGTCTATAATAATACATCAATACAAACTGTTGTAAATTCACTCTTTTATTGGCTGCACAGGAGTGCTTACTCTTCCATAACTCCTGTGTGTGTACTGAAAATGGGCTGAAGTCTTTAATAGTAGAGTTTACTTTCAAATTTTGTATAAGTTTATTGGGCTTCTTTTAAACTCATAGCGTCTACACAGGGAAATGAATGCAGAGGCATGAGGGTGATGAAAATTCACAGCCTTATGTAGATAGACTCCAAATGTGAAATACTTGCTCCGCTGTGTGGATTAAATACTTTGTCATCAAAACATTTTTAATGTGTGACCTGAGAATGCACTTGGGGAGTCACGTGATGCAGCCAGTGCATTGCACACTCTTGCATTGCCAGCTTGTCTGTGTAGGGACTCCTCTAATTTGTATTAGCCATTTCTATACACAATGTTATGCTGAAATGTGGCACACTAAATTTGATTGGTAACTGTCCTACGTAGGGAAGTTCGAAGGGTTCATCCAGATTTTTCTGTCTCTCAAGTCACTGTGTAGGAGAAGTACCAGTTTACTTATTTTAGTAGCTTTTTTGCTTGATTACTGTATTTACATGTTGGCATTAATGATTTTCGAAAGGGCTAATAAAGGATTTTTAGGGTACGATGGAAAAGATTAGACAGCATGAGAGCAGTATACACTCAAATCTATGTTTGATAGCATGACTGTAAATGTAGCTGTAGACTTTTTATTTCCAAAACATGCTCAAGCACAGTAGTATAAGAGTACAACAATGCAGAATCAATCCTCTCAAAGACTTAATTGCTATGATTTTTAACTTTTATCAAAAAGAATAATTAAGAAAAGTGTGCAATTAATGTAGATATTTTTGCATGTAGATAATACTATTTTTCTCATTAACTTGTTTTCTGTTTTATCTACCTTTTTTAGATGCCAACTCAGTTTGTGGAGTCAGTTTTGGAAGTACATAGTAAATTTGTTCAACTCATCAACACTGTTTTGAATGGTGATCAACACTTTATGAGTGCCCTTGACAAGGTAACTTTTACTTAAGTGAAAAAAAAAAATTGGAAAACAAAATGCAGGACCCTGTTTCAGGCTTGCCAGAATTCTTCAGGGCATCAACACATGTTCAAAGATAGAGTTCTTTTGCAGCTTTTCTAGTTCAGAAATGCAATGAGACAAAAGACAGTGCAGTGTTATGGGGAAAGGTATGTACAAAGGAAACCACTTTAATACTTAAATGTTTTCTGAAAGACCTTTCTTTTCATCATAATTCAAAACACAAAAATGAAACCGACATGTTTAATGTAAATTTAAGTGCAGATAATGAATAGACAAATTGGGGTTTGTGAAGTTTGGTAACGTGTGTTTGAACTTGAATTTGCTTGCTGCTATAACGTTTAAACTCTGAATGCTGATAGTATTACTTACATAGAAGCTTTGTTTAGATTTTTCAAATTGACTACAAAGAATACCTGGAAACTTGCATTACATCAGTCACTGTCGCAATAGCTAACTTTTTCTAGGAGAGAACTGCACTTGAAGTTGAATTTGGGAAAGAGGCTTGCTGCTCTTTTCTTTGAAATGCATAGCCATGAAGGTATTTAAGATAACAGTTCTAATTGTTACAAATTTTAATAATAAATTAGAACTAACATTATTATTATTGTGGTTGTTATTATTTTCTGCCAAACATGTCTGGGCTCTTGAGGGATTGAGTGGCTCCTCCTCAAACAAGAAGTGCATTTTATCTAATCCATTTGTTAATTTCCCCCTCTTTCTCATATATCCTTGTGTCTTTTTCTTAGAGAGTGCACTTACTATTTGCCTATCTATAATTTCCTGTCGCAGGATGTGTGCGTACATTTCACTGCTCTTTTGTGGTGTTTACAGTAGTTGCTGTTTGTAGTTAGAGTCATAGTCTAAGCTTTGATAATTTTCAGCCAAGGTTAATCTGGAAAGATGTAGTGATGAAGATACCACTAATAATATCAATAGTAGATACCCATCAGTATTTGTGATACTGAGAAAATAATTCTTTAGTATTTTAAAACAAATGCTTATCTTAATACCCTAATACAGCTGTCTCAATTGCAATTCATGCCATATACCAGAAGGTGGAGTAATACAAGATTTACAACTACATTTGCTGGCACATAGACAATGTACTTTTTCCTTAAATACATAAATTCTTCACTTCAGTGATCTTTACTATAATAAATACTTAAAATCTTTATCTGCTGTCAGTTTTTCATGGTGGATATCAAAACTTCTGTTGTTACCTCCAGTATTATTGCAGAAGAGTGCTCTAAACTTCAAAAAGTTTCATGTTTCTTGCCAAGTCATGCATTCCTTTCTCACAGGGATTCTAGGGACCTATTGTCATATATTGGAATGTCAATGCATTGTACAAAAGAGTTGCTTCTCAGTTCTTCTTTATAATAATAACAATAATAATGTTCTCCTTCCATAGAAGGAACTGTAATTCCTAGGAACTATGGTAATGCAATATTTTTGGCTCAGTATTAGTTTAAAATGTTAATTTAATTGTGATATGTAGTTTAGAAATTAATCTTGATTATTCTGATGTCTTTGTGTACAATTTTCCATTCTACACTGCTGTTATCTCCTTCCTTTTCATTTTCATCATATTCAGGTTTTCTTAAGCTACCGTATTTTTTGTACTGCACTGCTTTGAACTTCCACTATCAAAAATAATTTTTCTCCTCTTTAGTGTCCTCAAAAAATCCAATAACCAAAAGATCTTTCCTTTCTTACTGTTGTGACCACACCATGTATGTTTTTCAGCTCAAGCTGCTTATGATGTGCTGCTGCTCAAATCTGCTTCATCTGCAGGTTCTTCTCAGTTTCTTTCCATCCATACTTTTGGACCATACTTACTGCTGTATACCAAAACCTTCACACTTTTACATTTAAGTTTCTAATCGGAACTTAATTTATTCTCCTGCTTTCTGCAATTAAGTTCTGTTCCTGTACTCTTTACACTTTTACTTAAATCTCAACTTAAAAATGTTCAGTGCAGAAATTCTGAAAGAACAGTTTTTCAAACTCTTTTATTCATTGTTTCTTTTTTGATCCCTTTTTGACACAAAAGTTCGGTTTTATAGGGTCTCAGATGGTCTTTGCCCTGAACATTTTTTGCTTTCTTCAAATTTCATAAAAGAAAAAGTTTTAAGTCATTTACATTTTTTCTCTTTGCTCTATGTTCCTGTGTAGGCTTTGACATCAGTAGTTAACTATAGGGAGCCCAAGTCGATCTGCAAAGCACCTGAGTTGGTAAGTGATATATATTACTGTAGACAGGAATAATACTTCTTTATAACTGTCAAATGAGTTGTCATAGAGTCCTTCACATGAGTATCCATTTCTCACGTTGAATCAGCCTCATATGTGTATTTCAGTGGTAATAAATAACATAACCTGCACACACATTTTGTGGGAATGTGAAATTGGTGCATTTGTAATTTTTGATAGAGAATTTGTATTTTCTGTGGATGTAGTATGTATTGTTTACCTATGAATGCGGCCCTTGCAATAGAATATGAGGCTGTAGACTGTGACTTATTTCATGCTTTAACTTTTATAGAGAAGTTTGGAATAACTTGGCATACATTTGTTCTCAAGCTTGACAAGTAGGTTTGGGTTTGTTTTTTTCTTTTTTTTAACTTGAGCTGGCCAAGTACTGTGACAACTTGTTGAAGAAATCAGCAAAAGGAATGACAGAGAATGAAGTAGAAGACAAACTTACAAGTTTCATTACTGTTTTCAAATACATTGATGACAAAGACGTATTCCAAAAGGTAACTTTTGATATTCAGTAAATGTTAAAATGTTATATTTAAAGTATACTTGAAGAATGTGGTTATGCTTTTAAAAATCCTCATATCTGTTTTGGTTTTTTGTGCAGTTCTATGCCAGAATGTTGGCAAAAAGATTAATTCATGGTTTGTCTATGTCTATGGATTCTGAAGAAGCCATGATTAATAAACTAAAGGTAATGTAGTATTCTTCTAATGCAGAATAAACTAACATAGGAGCATGTAATATTGAGAGGGAGCAGCAGAGGGTGCCAGGGAGAACTTAGCAATCAGTAGATCCTGTTTCCAATAGCTGAAAGGAAAAACTAATTTCTTGGTAGTCTGTGAAAGATATATGGCCAAGTATCGCCTAGGCATTTGAGATTTTTATGAAGTTTTGGGTAGTTCTATTAAGTGTGTCCAAATAATTTATATTTACGTTATAGACGTACCAAGGACTTTCATAAACTAGCTCTATCTTTCCATTTTATAAAATAACATTGTTCATATAAATCAATGTATAGAAAGTGAAACTAAGATAAATCAGATAATTTTCTTTTATAATGTCTGTTTTCTACTGTAACTAGTGTTCTCTGTAAATATTATAACAACTAGATTTTCATATTTTAGTAGTGAATGTACATAACTTATTTAATAAATACTTCTTTCACTGTGAAACCTGTTACAATATTTCTTCACAGCAAGCCTGTGGTTATGAATTTACCAGCAAGCTCCATCGAATGTATACAGACATGAGTGTTAGTGCTGATCTCAACAATAAATTCAACAACTTTATCAAAAACCAGGACACGATTATAGATTTGGGAATTAGTTTTCAAATATATGTTCTACAGGTACTAATGTATGTTTATTACTATTAAGTTATTTGTACTTAATTTTTATGTTTTGATAACAAGTGAACAATTTTTCTAACTGAATACTTCTCATATGGAAACTAACATGTTGCGATCATTGTGGAATAATTTATTTTCCTAATGTTTCTTTTTAAAATTAACCCTCTAACACACTGAACAATAATGATGTAAAATACCTTGTGTTCTGTCTTGTATTAATCCCTCAGCAGGGCATGCATAATGAGCAGTAAAACTTTTGGTGTTAATCGAATGTCCTATGGCATAATATACACTGTAGATCTGTTTAATAGTGTTATTTTTTGCTTAATGTATATGTTGTATGAGAATGTTAATGCTTTTATTTTTTGTGATACCTTTAGGCTGGTGCATGGCCTCTAACTCAGGCTCCTTCTTCTACATTTGCAATTCCTCAGGAACTGGAAAAAAGTGTACAGATGGTAGGTTAGTAGGTGGCTTCTTGTAAACATGTGGAGAATGTAAAATAACTCTAAATGAAAGAGCATCACTCTAACAGAGAAAAACCTGAGATGCTGCATGTTGTTTGTAAATCATGACTATCCTCTTTCAGTCCATATGAAATTTGGGTCACCCAAATGGCACACTGAATTTCTGCGTCTGTTTGCATACCTTTTCTTTATTTTTCACATCTCTCTCCTATAATTTGTGATTGATGAGCGAGATGCTAATAAATGCAATCAAATGAATTGGGTTGATTCTTAGTTTTAAAACCAATTCCTAACATTTAGATGAAAGATTTTGTTTCTAATATTAAGTCTGAACAGATTGAATAGCAGATTAAAAAGCAGATACAGTTTCTTGTCCCATATTTCACAGGAGCCATTCAAAATCAAGCTTCATGCAAACTTCTTTAAAGATAATTTTACGAATTCTCAAGGCAGTAAAGGTTCTACTTTGACCAGATATTCACTTTTTATGTGATTATTTCTGCTTTGTAGAGGTGGAATATTTTAATACTTTTGATTACATTATTGCATTCTAAATGTTACCTGCACAATGTTTGTGTTAAAATACAGGATATGGGTGTTGATCTTTGCTAAAGTGTATTTAATGGTGAAGTACATTCTAGGCAATAAAAAAATTTGTATTATTGGACATAACAGATTTTTAAAGCAATTTTTACACCTTAAATTGCTATCTGATGTAAATTATAATGGCAAATGTCTGTTTCTGTGGTGAAGGAGCTTTTTCATGTATTACCAAGTATTAGAACTATTTCTTCTGCTTTTATTTCTGCTGTATTAAGTGGCATTTGCTTTTAGCAGTATAATAGTTTCCATCCCATACTGTGGGATCCACAGAAGGTGATTAATGACATTTTGCTGCTCTTTGTGGTCTTAGAATAGGAGTCTTGTCAGTTGTGCCTCAGTTGAAAAATTGTTAGACTTGCATATCAGAAGTAGCTCAGAGTCTGGGTTGCTTACCTAACTTCACTGCTTTGCCAGTTTAAAGGAGGAAACTTACTTATGTCTCACCTAGCTGGAATTAATGCTGTAAATTGTACTCATAATTCCCTGAGGAAACAGAACATGGCATTGGGGAGTCTTTGAAAAATTGACAATGTCTGTCTTTACTATCAAATCTGATCATTAGACCCACAAAGAGAGAGTTCTCTGAGGATTCTGGCCAGGATTTAGAAAAAAACATTTTGCAGTTGCACCCCAAAGTGTGGGAGTACCTCTGTAACTGGGCAAACTGTTCAGCAGCTTTTTCAGGCTCTGAGACTGCTGGAGCTTCCTATAAATATGTATTTATTTGAATGGTATACAAGTACTGGTTTTCATACTATGTGAGCTTGTGGGTGGAGAAACACCTGATTCTTACAGAGGTCAAAAGTCCCCCTTTTTGTATTTTCCTTCGATGTTAATCAGAGTTGCCAGATCAAATCAGAGTAAGCCAAATTGATGTGTATGCAGTATTGGCCACGTGGAATTTAGGGAGGTTTGATCCCATTTTAAGAAAAGGTTCTGTGAATCTGCTTTTCTCATTACTAGAAAGTAGTTAGACCTTAAATTAGGATTAATCTGCAAGCCATACTCTCTCCATTACTTGCTAGTTTCCAGGAATGGCAGGATTGTTGGATTATATATGATATGAGAATAAGATCATTTTGCTGCTTCTCTGCAAATTTGATTTTTTTTCTTATCACAGGCCACAAGTCTGATACTTCCTAAATCATAAATATGTGCTTCTTTGCAAAAATAGGTTTTGGAAGGCTTCAACAGAAATTCGAGAATCTGTAGTCACTTCTTGGTTCTGAGATGTTTGCAAACTGTGTAGTTGTATGTAGCCTGAAACCCAAATTGGAAGGTGGGAAAAACTGTGCCTGCTTTCAATCTTGCTCTTTTTGGAATTCCCCATAAAAATATGTTCAGGAATGTAAGATGCAATTCGTCATGAAAGTCAATGTGTAGCTGACTCTGGGAAATAGCTTTTAACTAAAAGTTTGTTTTTTGAAGGATGTTGTTAAAAAAAAACGAAAACAAAAACAGTAAAATGGATTTTTCTGAATTTATTTTAAATAGGGTATCAAAGTTATCACTGCTTAGCTACAGCATTTTATGGTTTGAGAGTATGAATGTGTCAACAATCTTTATGATTTAGTCATCAAGTGATATGTTAATATGTTCAAGTAGTTCAGTAAATGGTTCAGTCATCACCCATCTTCTAAAAGAAAATGCTGTCATGAATTGATCTACAATGTTTTTATCCAGCATGGTGAACATAAAAGCAGTAGTTCTTCAGTGGGATGGTAGTGTAATGATAAACTATTCTAAGTAGTTATATGTGTCACTAATTGAAGTTCATTTTGTTTTGCAGTTTGAATTATTTTACAGCCAGCATTTTAGTGGAAGGAAGCTTACTTGGTTACATTATCTTTGTACAGGTAAAAATAAGTGCTTTGCTAAAGTTATGCTCTGTACAACTGACAATTATTTGTTAAAAGTCCTTGTCAAATGGCAACAGACTTTGTAGTTGGAACGTTGTTGCATATAAAGTCAACTGTCTTATTTTGCATTATAAATTAATTTAATATTTGCTGCTTAGTATTTCCAAAATTTACATTTATAGAATCATAGAATCATGGAATGGTT